ATTTCAAACGTGAAAGGAAAAAAAAAAAAAAAAAATCTCTGAAAATGAAAATCAGCCAGAATAAAACTCTATGTTCTAGCCAGCTCTTTCTTGTCTCATTTGGAACTTCTGGCTGCCTGGTATTTGGATATTAGCCATAGAGTCTTTATAACAGATTATTTTATTTCCTAGACACAGTGACTCAGAAGCAAAAAACTAAATAATGCTACGGAGCTTCTGGCAGCAGGAAAAAAAAAAAAAAAGCAGCTAATAGTTTAATAATAAATAAGACGAGCTTTTTAAAAGCACAGACCCACCAAGGTATGATGCACACATTAGTTTGAATCACACAAGAAAACGTTAAATAACATACATCCTCTCTGAATAAGACAGAGAATTGTATAATATTATATAAAAACCATTCTTCCAAAATAACGAATGCCTTTGAGGTAGCAAATTTCAGTTACGTGAAGAGAACCACTTATGTGTAATTATACATCATTATTATTTAGTAATACTTATGTGCTGAATCTGGCCTGCCTTTCTTAAACTCCTCCCTTCCACATTCTTCTTAACTGTCCCTCTCTCCCTGCCCTCTCCTCCCCACCCCTACCCTAACAAGCCTACCTGTCTAGTTTCTAGAGGAGGATGACTGACTCTATTGACTTGTCCAGAACTTTCTTGGTTACCTGCAGTCCCAGGTAGCCCGGGACAGTTGATTGCTCTATTACAGAGCCGGATAGTCTGATTCCAGCTCTACCATGCAGGTATTAACTTGTAATTCTGTATAGTGGGGTGGGGTGGGGGGCATTACAACTATCACCGTGCGTACTCAAATCATTAGGTCACTAGGCTCCTAGATCTGAGCTATTTTGAAAGAAAAAAAAAGAGGCTTTGGGTTCTTCAATTATACTAATAATGGACTTTGTTTTTTTATTTACTTAATATGGAAAACCAAATCTGATTGGTTTATCGGTTTTGCCAGCTAAAAATGGAAATTGCTAGAGGGAAATTGCTTTCTTCCTTTGCAGGTATTTTCTGGGGAATTGCTACATAAGAAAGTGAGGGCTTGTAGGCCTTGCTTAGTCTGAAACTCCGAAGAGAGCTCAGGCAGGACTCTGAGGCTATATACACATAAAATACCAACCGTGAGGCCTCCATAGCATTCAGCTCGCTGCCTGGTGTTACCATTATGTATCTGGCTTAATTGGCCCAATCACCAAGGGGATCATGTTCCACCTTTGGCTGCCTACAGTGGATGGAAAGCAGAAGTCAAGTGATGTGGTGGGTGTGGGCACTCTGGTTAGTAACGGAGCTTTGCAGTTTCACCTGGAGACAGGCCTAAGCGATTCCTGGTTAATCGAAATTCATCTGAAGTTTGAAATTTACCCAAACCCCACAGCTGATGTTTAAATTGGTAATTATTCTACTGCTTTTGAGTTGTTGCCTCTATCCAGGAACTAAAGGGAGGAATGGAGGAGTGGGTTATAAACAGGGCAGCAGTCCTGGGGTAATGTGCCCTGTGTGGAGACTGAGAATGCGTTTTCATCACCGAGGAGACTAAAAACTGAGAGGCAGAAAGGCCTTAGACTAAACAGTGAAACTTTTACCCAAAGGAAACTTTCATATCCAAAAGGAAGGGTGCAGAGAGCTGAATGACCTCAGTTTAAATCTCAGCCCTACTACCTTCTAGCTGTTGTACTTGGACAAGGCACTTAACCTCTCTGGGCCTCAGTTTTCTTATTTCTTAAATAGGGATAATAATAGTACCTTGGCTGCTAACTGAAAGGTTGGTGGTTTGAACCTATCCAGTGGCTTCGCAGGAGAAAGACCTGGTGATCTGCTCCTGTAAAGATAACAGCCAAGAAAACCCTATGAGGCAGCTCTACTCTGCTGCATGGAACTTGACTCGATGGCACCCAACAACACTTCACGGATTTGCTGTTAAGATTAAATTATTTAATATTTCTGAAGAACTTACAAAAGTGTTTGGAACATAATAAGGTCATGTGAGTGTTTGTTAAAGACTAAGACTCATACTTCAGAATGTAAATTTTCTTAGTATTCCTAATCCTGAAAAATAGTTAAGTGATTCCAAATTTGCTAGACGAAGTAGCATTTTCTCTCAGAGCATATATCCTTGGTAAATTTGTGTCCTAAAATAATATACAACTAGGTTTTGTAGGTAGATAAAACCAAAATACAAATTCTACATCAGTGATTCATTAGCTTTGCAATTCAGCTTCAGTTTCTTCATCTAATACAAGGATCAGCAAACTATTGACTAGGAGCCAAATCTAGCATACAACCTGTACAATTATAAATAAAGTTTTATTGGAACACAGCCATGCCCGTTCTTTATTATATTGTTTGTGACTAGGCAGAATTGAGTAGTTGCAACAGAGACCATCTGGTCCACAAAGCCAAAAATATTTACTACCTGGTCCTTTACAGAAAATGTTTCCTGACCTCTGATGTATGATATGAGAATAACAATATCCCGGCTTTTTTTTTTTTTTTTTTGTGAGAATGAGATGGGAACCCTACATATAGTAGAGGTTCAATAAAGAGTAACTATTATTATCATTTGGAGTGGCACAAATGGCTCAGTGCTTGGCTACTAATCGTAAAGTTTGGTGGTTCAAATCCACGCAGAGGCACCTCAGAAGAAAGGGCTGGCAATCCACTGCCAAAGGATCACAGTCGTTGAAAACCCTGTGGAACACAGTTCTGCTCCGACACACATGGGGTCTCCATGAGTCGGAATCAACTTGACAGCAACTGGTTTGTTTTGGCTTTGGTTTTACTAATACTGTTAGAGAATCAAAATCTGAATGAATAATACCTTCGATACTTCTGTTTGCATGATTTTTAGTCTTTTGCATCCTCTCTCTATTTAGGCCTTTCTGTCCAAAAACAAAATATGAGCCTAACTTCCTCGAACTGGGATTAAACTAATCGGCCAGCCCACAGCACCTGTCTGTTCAGTCAGTTTCTATGGCTGCATTCATCCAAACCACCCGGGTTTCTGTCCCATTGTTCTGGAGCATTTGCTTTATGTCTCAGCTCTTCTACAGGCATCAAGCAGGAAGCCCAAAGATCCTTGCACCAATTTGTTGTCCATTTTTAACTTTTTATTTAGAAATAATAAAATAAGACATAATATATAAAAATATGTACAATCCATGGTTTGTGCAGTACAATAGAAAGACGTTAGATACAAAAAGACGGCAAACGGGAAAATAATGACTCTTACGATTGTCAAAGGCCAGAATTGTTCAACTCACCAGAACCCAGAGCTGACAGCCAACATTACAAGAAAAGAGATTATCGTTGGCTACGGGGTCGGGGTGCGGAGGCGACTATGCAACACTTTTTTTTAATGTTTTCACCTTAACATTATCAAACACAGAGTGAAGAAGTAACTCACTCTACTTCTCAGAACGTGCATTTTTGCCTTCGCTGAGTGGTTTATTATAGAACACGGACTGACAAATGTATCGCCTGCGAGGGAAGCATGATCTGGGGAACAAACTTTACCAAATCAACATCAAGATTTGGGACAGGAGTGATAGGGAAGAAAGGAAGTCGAGGGAAGAAATAATGCCTTAATAGAATTTAAAAAAAGAGTAAAACAAACTTTCTCCAGGAATTTAGAAATGACTACAGTGCTATAGTGACATCCTGAAAATGTCTAATTCAAGTATACTCTTAGAGGGATAGAAAACTATTCCTTTCTCAATAATCAAAATAGAATGCACTTTCTCTACTTTTTATTTAAAAATAGGATAACAAAGAATCTATGCCCTTCCTCTCCCCCCCTCAACCCCGCTCCCATAGAATGCCCATCCATATCTGGGCAAAATGCTTTAAAAGGGAATAAATTCTAAGTAAATTCACTGGGATTTGCTTGCAACAGAGAAGCAACATGTATCTGGGAAGAGACCCTAGATATTCACGGTGAGTCCCTTATATCCGCATTCTGACAACATGTGGGCACTAATTAAAGAGACCCAGTCAATAAGGACAAATGTTTTGAAGGTAAAATGCAGCAATAAGTGGCGTGCATTACTGTGTCTTGGCTCTTGACAAAAAAAACTTGCCATTTAAAGCTTGTAACTGTTAAAATGCTCAGTACTAGAAAAAGCTATCAAATGAACAGTCCATGCTGAAATAAATAACAGAAGAACATAGCAATACGAACCTTATAAGGCTGGTAAATATTTGCTAAAACCATGCTAACCGGTAGCATATAGGTACTAGCTCTCATTGTTGCACTGAAATTATACTTTCTATGGCATTTTCTTTTTCCTTTACAGACTTCTATTTACATTTGGCTTTAAATATGAAAATATCTGATAAACTTTATAAAATGTACACTTTAAAAACATAGCTTCTGCAAAATTTTCTTGAAAAAAACAAACAAACAAACCTGTGCACCAGAAATTTTAGAGATTTTTTTCTCTTTTTCAGAAATACGCTGAAAGATTTCCCTTCCTCGTTCTCACCCCTATCATCACCCCCTTTCCAATATCTCAAGTCTTTTTGTGTGTGTGTGTGTGTGTGTGTGTGTGGCAGCACTATGTGTTTGGGGGAGCCTCCTTTGTGGTTACCCCCATTCTCCACTGTATCTTCACATAATTTATATATCACTGAATACTCTTTGGTTTGATTATTTTCCTTTGCAAAACATCAAAATAGCAGCAGCTGAAGTCCTCAATATTTTCTCACTGTCAATGGCCAAATTATTGCCTCTTCTATAATTTCCCTTGTCCACTTGATCCCCAAATCCTCCAACTCCTTAAACAACTTCCCTAGCCTGCTGTTCAACTTAGATTTAAAATAGCATCCACTCACTTGACATCTCTATCTTGGTTTCTTTAAAATAACATCACAGTTTTCAAACCCATTGACTTTGAATGCTGAAAACAGCGTAAACTGTCCTATTATTGCAGGCACCTCATTCAGAGATGGCTGTGCAAGAACCAGAGACCGTCACAAACATCAATTTACAAAATACATGATTCTAGAACAAGCTGTTTTTTAATGGCATACAGAGATATAATACCGTAAAAGAGTTGATTTTGAGATTCCCGATTAAGAAGAAAAGTCAGTAATCCCAGAATTCACAAATAGGGAACTTTTAACCAAAAAAAGTTCCATTATTGAGCTAGAGTGGAAAAAAAAAAGTTCCAGCAAGGCAGGCAGCCAGGCAGACAGAAGCTTCTGGAAAACTACGTCCTAGTAACCTGCTCTAGGGCTCCACAGGAGACAACAGTCGGCACTGGGCTTGCATTCAACCATGAGTGTGCACACATAAAAAAGGAAATAATCCTTTTAGAGCATTGCCTCCTTTACTTGTGACTGTGTTAACTTTGTATGGCTTTCTTTGACCCTAAAATACTGACACATTTTCACTCTTACCCTCTACCATAAAAAAAAAAGTAACTTTCCTTTCGCTCCTGAATACTTGAACTGATGGGTTGCATCCAAGTGGCCTGTCCCACCTCCCCACCTCTCCTCTTTGGCCTTGGCAGCCCTCTCTGACACATGAGGGCTCACTCCAGATCTTTCCAGACTGAGCAGAAGAAACAGCCTCAAGGCCAGGCACGGTATCTTTTCTAAGGCAAAGTCAAGCTGGAAATGTCCTGACCTAAGGGTTGAAACCTATTGATCTTTCATGCTGGATGGCTCAGTTTTGAGGACTCCAACTAAGCTCAACCAGGGTCTTATCTTGTGGAATAAGTTCTGGAATGTGCAAATTGGGAATACCCAGAAAAACCTAACCAGCACATCACCATCACTCACTTTCGTTTTAGCTTGGTCAACACTAGCTGGCAGGGAAGAAAAGGTGTTTATATTGCGTATGTGTATTTATTTGTGTACGCGTGTATGCATGCATGTGCAAATTTTACTTCCCTTTTCCTTTTCAAAGAAGACAATCACATGAAAGAAAAGAAATGGAAAACAATTGCACTTATTAGACGGTGTGTGTGACGCTCTACTTTCTGAAAAAGGTGCAAAATGAGAGGATAGTTCAAGGTCTTGCTGAGGTTCAATGTTATTGTCTCTTGATTCCAAGGCAGCCCATGGGGGCTTTGTTTACTTTTTAGTACAAGCTCCACTGTGCAAAAATGTGCATTATCTTTGGTATTCGTTTTAGGTAGTCTAACTTAAAATTTGAGATAACCCATTAACATTATTGAGGGGAAAAAAACAAAACAAAACAAAACAAAACCTTGGAGGCTACCATTTGGCTAGTGTTACATAATGCCCTTATGTAACCAAAGACAGAGAGAAAGAGAGAGAGAAGAAGGAAAAAAAAAAAAAAATCAATTCTAGTGAACAAATTACTGGCCTCAAAAAATCAGGCTCTCGTTTTGGCAGCTCATAGCCAAATACTTGCCACTTTGAAGCGCATCATGAGCTTTCAACACAGTTCAACACTGACTTTTAAGTTACACAAAAGAAAAACTACACTGCAACAAAAATAAAATTTGTGCTCATGTAGTTAGCAGCTTTTCAAAAATTAAGGCAGAGTCTTGCCTTTGTTATGCCATTAAAAACATTCTTGTTCCCTAAAGAGAAGCATGCTGGATAAGTCGAATACCCGACCAAGGCTTGCCTGCAAGTTCAAGTTTTGTAAAAACACAAAACAAAACATAAAAACCCATAACTTATCCTACAACATAAGTGCCATCAGGTCATGCACAGACGTGTTTAGTGCGTTACGTGAATCTCCGAGCTCACAGTCTTTCTTTGAAACCATCGTGCTAGCCTCAGTCCCTGTGGCTGCTTGCCTTGACCCACCTCGTCACCAGTACCGTCGTCTGTTATCACTGCTTTGGGCCTTTGACCAACAGACTGTGTTTGAAAGTAAATATTCCAGAGAAGGAATCAGTCAGTCATATTTCTGATTCTCGCCGTAAGGGCCTGGGCTCTAGAGGTACACTTGCCTGGTTGTGAAGGTCTATGTCAGGGGGAGTGTCTGTACTAGTGCTTTCTGGAAGTCCATTTTCACTGTCATCTTCCTCTTTGCTTGTGAGGGCAACTTCATTTTCATAGCAAAATGAATTTGCATTTGAGAGGATATATTTCTTTTCTGCTAAGTCTCTAGCACTACAAAGGGGAGTGTTGGGTACTTCATAAGTTTTGTGGAACCTTGAATAGTCCACTTTGTAGTAGTGCTTCTCTTCAAAGAGTACGGGCTCGTAGCGGTGGCCCCAAAGGATTTCATTTGCCAGGTAAGAGCTACGACATTGTGTGGTCATGGCGGTGGCTTCCACCATGCCTTCCAGTATCACAACAATTTCAAAGTCTGCATTGTCAATGTCCTGTTTACTTAAATCATATAAAGGACTGTCTTCATCTATTTCGTGGACTATTGTGATTGGGGACACCAGAAATATACGGTCAATTCCACTGTCGAACCCAACATTGATGTCTATTTGATCCAGTGGAATATACTCCCCTTCAGAAGTAATTCTGGATTTGAGGAGCTGTGCTCGAACATGAGCTTCCACCAAGTGGCTCTTTCGAAGATTGCCCACTCGCCACATCAAACACAGCTTGCCATCTCTCATGGCAATCACAGCATTGTGACTGAAGACAAGAGTCTCATTTCTCTTCTTCGGCTTTGCCATCTTCGCCATGACGGCGCCAATGATGAAGGCATCGATAATGCAGCCCACAATTGATTGGAACACCACCATGAAAACGGCAATTGGGCATTCGTCAGTAACACACCTGAAGCCATAGCCTATTGTTGTCTGGGTCTCAATGGAGAAGAGGAAGGCAGCGGTGAAGCTGTTGACCTCAGACACACAAGCTTTGCTCTCCTTAGATGCATCCAGGTCCCCATGGAGCAGAGCTATCAACCAAAACACACAGCCAAAAAACAGCCACGAGAGAACGAAAGCCAGGCAGAAGATAACCAGCATCCACCGCCAGCGGATGTCCACGCATGTGGTAAAGATGTCTGCCAAGTACCGTTGTCCCTTCTCCCCGACGTTGATGAACTGAACATTACAGTGGCCGTCTTTCTTCACAAAGCGGCTCCTGCACTGCTGTCGAGTGTGGACTTTACTCTTCCCGTTTCCAAAGCCATTTGCAACTGCCATGGTGGCCAGCTTCATGCCGTCTTCTTCTGAAGAGACTATGCTATAGCGGTTGGTTCGCACACTGCCCATCGCTTCCGCCGTGGACTCCAGTGCTTCTGCTTTGGAAAACAGTCTGAGTTTTTGCAAAACCCTTTGGAGAAACAGTTTTGAATGTTCAGTGAGGACACACACCAAAAAAAAAAAAAAAAAAAAAATGAGGCGAGATGGGAGTCTCCAGGAGCCTTGGCAGTCTACCAAGGACTGTCTTCTGACATGCAGGGTTACCTTAGTAAGTTAGCTGACATCCAGAGAACATGTCCTGCAAGAAAAGAGAGATTGTTCATCATAAAATAAGTCATTATTGATGGCTTCTACTGTCTAAACAATATTTCCTAACAAGACAAGGTGTCAGATATAGATAAATATATTCTGCATTGAATTATAAAGTTCTTTGTTTCTTTGTACCCTAATTTTTTTTTTTTTTTTTACTTTATTTAAAGGTATAAGGTCATTAAATATAGGACAGTTGTTTGTGGTAGTCTTTCAACCAAAATTTCAGGCCCTTTCTCCCCTAGTTTTTGCCAGACATTTGGAATATTCTATTTTTCAGGTGTACCCCCGTCTTCCTATTCTCTTCTTTTGCCTTCCCAAGTTATTAAGCAGGAGAGGGGCTTTCTAATTCCAAATATGGTCATGAAGCTTTAAGAACAAGGGAATATTTAGAGAATATTTCACACAAATGCAGTATATTAATATTAATTATGTTGCATGCGCATTCTGGAAGAATATTAGAGACCTTGTCATCAGAAAGAAAGCGCAGGATATTCTGTTTAAACTATCAAACTGAGCAGACAGCCCTTCTGATCATCAGAACTGGATCCCAATTTCTGGATATTGTTCGGGCTTGCTTGATCACTTGACCTATTCTCGGCAGCCAGTATGCAGAAATTCCTGATAACATCTCTGTTAGAGCAAGTGATTCTGACTTAAAGACACAGTTTGCTCTGAGGGAATAGAGAGCGATTCTGTTGCCTAGTGATAAGAGTCTTGAAATTCTCCGGAGATGGGACTGTCATGTGTAATGACAGGCTAGGAAGTAAGCACCTTGGTGCTAAAGGACCAGGTCTTTAGCAGATGGAGATAAGGCAGGAACTCATTCATATGGGTCCAATTCTGTGTTCTCCCAAAGGAAGAAAACTTTGTTAAGGGTAGATCATGAATGCCAGTCAGCTTACTTTCACAAGTGCTATTGTTTGCTATCTATTCCTATGGAGAAGGCACTGATCTTTACTTAACAGGAGCAAATGGTAGTCTTTGGTTTTCTCCTCTTCCCTCATTCTCCCCTAGGTAAAAGCTGTTCACTTTAAATTTCCATTGTCACTACAAAGGAACTGTTTTTTAACTGACTAGCTAGCAAAAAGCCTAAGTCTAAGGCCTTTTCTTGACCAAATTCAAATGAGCAAAATTAGTACAGCATAGAACTAAACCATAAAAGAGATCTGAGATCCTCGACTTTGCAAACAACCAAAGCCATCCCCCGTTTTTAACGGAAACAACAAATAACACATGGAAAGGGTCAGAAATGCGTTGACTCCCTGCTAATGAGAACGTCACTGGTCACTCTTCTTTCTTCCCCATAGTCACATTAAGATTAAGCAGGTAACAAACTGGATGTCTGCAAGCCAGCTGCCAACGAATACAGAAAACCCTGTATCTTGTCTCTGGGTATCCCCGTATAGAGAGGCAAGGTTCATTGCCCCCTGAAAATGTCTTACACAGTCTTTTGACTTCTCTCTCTTTATCCAAGTTATTATGCAAGAATGTGCCTCAACACATTTTTCCTGAGATTAGTCATCTGTGAAAATTGCAATGTGTGTTACATTTTGGCAGCTTCTGACACCTAAATGATGCCCGATTTGAAAGTGCCTTTGAATTACTTTATGAAAAGAAGTTACTGTGCTTGCCTAGCCTTCCACGTGCTTCAGTGTTTTGTCTGCTTGCCTATGAAGTTTGCCCTTGGACAGAAGGAGCGAGACTCTTATTCCTCAGAGTTCTAGATCCTGCGCATGGGAGGAATTTCTTTTAACAGGGATTTCAGTTGATTTGGCTCACATGAAGTTACCAAGGTTTTCAACACAAAGACAGTTGTAGATAACAACATACCGTCCAATGCGGGTGTCCTTTCAAAGAAAAAATAAGTCTTATTTAAATAGTGCTTGTATCCTTGGGTTCTGACTGATTTCAGAACCTTATATTATAAGCTGACACCAAGAAATTCCCTTTCCGTGTTTCGAAAGAAGCCTCCTCTGTGAGTTACCATTAGGGACCATGAGTAGACAGTCTCAAATTTCGTCTAACTTATTTCTGCACTCTGTCCAGATTAAAGTATGACTATTGAGTGGCATGAAAGATTGACTAAAAATCACTCCATCTTCACCCGAACAGATTGACTGATGTTTAAGGATTAACATTTAAGACCCATATGGAATTAAAAGGCTGAATTATGACGTTCCAAAATCTTGACCCCAGGACATTTGTTTGGATTCCACAAGTCACAAAATACCACCTTCCTATGAATAGCTTTCCACATTTAGAACCTTGAAAACAGCCTGTATTGAGCGACTATTATTGTCTTGTTTCCATTGCTAATGGCAGAATTCATTCCACACACGGAGAATCATTTAGAAATTTTATCATTACTGCCCAGAAAAAAAAGAAAAACAAACAAAAAAAGGCTTTCTTGGCAAAATCATAACTTTTGTCACTTAGAAAAGATATGCTCCAAAACAGATTTAGGTGTGTACGTGGGTGCACACATATTATGTGTACTCAATTTTTGTGGAGCTGATTACATAGCAAAAATCTAGAACCTGCCAGAGTCTGACAGGGTAACTGTCTTAATATTTTACTGTGAAGACTGCCTTTCCCATTAACCTGCCCAGTTGCCTTTAGGCAAGTTGAAATCTCTCTAGCCCACACGCTCATAATTGCCAATACGTGGGCATCTGGGGAAATCTTTCATTAGGAATAGGGCTTTCATGGAACTTTATTTTAGGCATTGAATTAAAATTATTTCTTGAGGAATACTCAGTTAAAGATAGATGAGAACACTACGTAATCTGACTGCTTACCCATTGTCGTTGAGTCCATTCTGACTCATAGTGACCCAATAGGACAGAGTAGAACTGCCCCACAGGCTTTCCAAGGAGCAGCTAGTGGATTTGAACTGCTGACCTTTTCGTTGGTAGCTGAGAAGCTCTTAACCACTGCACCAGTAGGGCTCCGGTCTGACTGCTTAGAGTCATAGAGCTCAGAAGAGTTGATATTTGATTTGATGAACAGTATGAAAAATCCCCTTTCAGCCAAAATATTTAAGGAGCCGGATGTAAATTTAATGGAAACAAATAATCGTTTTACTCAGGCCATAACCAATGATGTAGAAAGTATTCCTGGGAAATTGAGAGGCTACATGTGGTGCTGTTCATGTTAAGACTATTTATAGGCTGAGCCAAAATTAAGCATAAGCAATGGAAAAAAATAGTTCAGCACTTCAGTCTTAGGTAGATGTTAAAGGAGAGAGCGCTACAGACAGATACAAGGTCAAGGAGGTCACACGGTATAAATGGGTGAGACTAAAGTATGATTACTGTGTAGGAAATATTTCCAATATGGTTTATTAAAAAAAAGCTAGAAAAATGTGATTATGAAAAATAAATGTGTCCCATAATATGCTGTGGTGTGCAGTAAATCAGAAAGTTTCTGCCTAAGGATAGAAATAAAGATGGCAAAAGCAAGTGTGCTGGGCTGAGAGAGAGGTCTGCTAATGAGTGCTTGGAGCAGCTCTTCTCCAGCTGACGCCATACAGAGCAGCATGAGTGTGCTCTGGGCACATGTTGCTATGTGAGCACGCCTCCCAGCAAAGCAACCTCTTATTAGAAGATCAGTAAACAGAAGGGAGGGAAGGGGAAGGTCAGGCGGGGAGGGGAAGAGGGAGGAATACCCATTTACCTGTGTGAGCACTATCTACAATATTTAGACTCAACAATGCAGGCAGCATCACTCAGCATTTGCATCTGCTGAAAACTATGCATATTTGCTAAACAAAAATAGACACACACACACAAACCCAACCTTGGAACATTAGTTGATCTGTTCAGGTAAAGATTTAGTGACCTTTGGTCAATCTTTCATGCTACTCAAAAATCATACAAGGATTCTAGAACTGACCGGACATTCTCTCAACTGAAAGGTCTGAAGGATGTAGAAATACGGTGGGCTCTTTTTTTTCCCACCCAGGTGCCAAATTCACAAGAATATAGAACAAATAGGCTTTATGGACATAAAAAAGTAAAGTGCCACCAGAATATGAGGGTGAGGGACAGAAAGCAAAGTGAAATGACCTTGACCCCCACTCTAACCCCCTCTCACTATCCTTAAAGTAACACCTTCTACTCTTTCAGAGCATCAAGGTATTTCCAGATAATGGGAAATATAATAACAAGTATAAAATATAATAATAAACATAATTACATAATAAACATAATTGTATAATAATAAATATAATTGTGTAATAATAAATATAATTGTATAATGATAAATATAGTTATGTAATAATAAATATTATTATATAGTAATAATAAGTAAAACGCTCGGGATGAGAGTGCAAGCAAGGAAGGAAAAACTAACAAATGTCCAGGCAGTGTATGGAAAACGTACAACAGTGGTTACAAAAAGAAATAGAACTGCCTGTCGATTGTTAAGGTGTAAAGGGCAGTCTGCATTCTTTGCATATCCAAAACAGTTTTCTAAATACTGTCTTATTTCCTCACAGACAAATTCTGATTTAATGAAAATCCCCAGGAAGTGTTTCATTCTGTTGTACCTGGGGTCGCTAAGTGTCGAAACAGACTCCACAGCACCTAACAACAACAACATCCTCGTTACCATCCTCCTGATGTGCTCACCAAGACGCAGGCATGAAAAGGGCCACTTCCTATCTCTATTTTTTTCAACTGTCACGATGAGTCCACGTTATTATGCAATATTATTGTAGAATCAAGTCGTTTTGACCGTTGTGCTTCCCTAAAACCACAGTCTTCCACTTAGGTCTTATACGATTATTAACAGGAATAGCAAGTGGCTTAGGCGAGAGTGACATACGATGGGAAAGTTTTGCGGTCTTCAGGCTCAAATCCAACTCAGGCTCCGCTCTCTTAGCCAGCAAAGCAACTTTGAGACGCTCACTCTGTTTGGAACTCGAAGCTACACTTGAAGCAATGACAAAACAAAACAGACTCCAAGGATCAAAATAATGCTGAGTCCCAAGGCTTGCCAAGTTTGAGACCAACGCTTTAGACCTTGTCCCTTGCTTTTTCGTTAGAGAGAGACTCGCCACAGACTCCCGGTCTCTGCCTCCCGACTCAGTATCTCGCTACAGCTGGTGCATTGGAAGTTATGAGCACAAACAGATGCTGCAGAGAAATCTGTTTCTATTGCTCAACTGTTCCAAGCATGTCTCAGTATTTTTAGCTCTAAGGATGTTCTTGGGCTCACACAAACTATATAGGCATGATCTGGGATTCCGGAGCGTGGGTGGGTGAGCGCTACAGCAGCGTGACAGCTGGGCACCTCTGGAGCAGCGGGGTAGGGGAGGGTAAGGACAACGGCTCCAGTCCAACTCCCCAGGACACCCAAGCAGCGAGAGAGAAAGAGGGAAGAAAACACAGCAGCCCTTACCTGTTGCTGGCTCAGGAGCATGGGGGCAAGGAGTGGAAGTGGGAGGTACAGAGGCATGTAAGATCCAGTAGTTTGTAAAAGCCAGGGAGCCAAAGCAAACCAGAATTTCCAAGACCCAGCTGACCGGCGCCGGGGCAGGCTGCGAGCTGGTCGGGGCTCCAGGGCGCTCTGCAATATCCTGGGCTCTTTTGAGGCGGTCCAGGAGATACCGGCCTGCCTGGCTCCGCCCCCGGCCGCGGCCGGCCAATAGCAGCGCTCCGGGCCGCGCGGCCGGCCCCGGGAATTGCGGCGGGGAGGGGAGGATGCTGCACCCGCGGCCGCAGCGCTGCCAGCGCGGAGAACCTGCCGCTGCTTCCTCCCCCGCCAGCCGCCGAGCCCGAGCCGGGATCGGGGGCCGGCCGGGGCTGGGGAGGAGGAAGTGGCGGCCCAGCTGGGACAGCAGCAGGTGGGAAGTTCCGCGGCCGGGCTTTTGCGGCTGTTTAATTGCAGCCTGGCCTTGGGCAAGACTTCCTCCCCCTCTTCGAGCCCCACGCTTCTCTTTTTCCGTCCCCGGAGGAGGCTGCTGCGCTCTGCGTGCTCCTCGAGGGGCCTGCGCGGTGCCATTGCCGGGGCGAGACTGGCTGCAGGGGAGGCTTGCATGTCAGCCCGGGCGCGTTTCCCTCTCCCCTCCCTCCTGCCCAGAGCTCCGCGCCCCCGAACCCCCCGGAGGAAGCAGCGGTGCGCGGAGGAGCCGAAACTTAAAGTGGGGCAGGGATAGGGGACGGGCGCGCAGAACCCAGCAAGACTGAGACGCACGAGATCCCCAGTGTGGCAGCTGCACAGCTGCTTGGTGATTGCTTCTCCCGATTGTTGGTGAATTACTTACAAAGCGCCCAGACTTCTCTGAAGGGTGAACTGCTCCTTCCCTCTCGCCTTGTCCGCCCTCAATCTCTTTCTCCACCACCGCCCGGCACGCTCTGCTGATCTAAAATCAGAGCAATTAGAGAGTAATGAATTCTCTGGGACTGCAACTCCTACAGACACTCAGCTCTGCCCTTGCACCAGCGCCTCCCAGCCCTCACTTCAGAGACCAGGCAAGAGCGTGTAAGACTCTTTCAGAAACCTGTGTAATCGTCGATATTAACTGGGTCTGGACCCTGAAACTCTACAGCTTAATCCGGGGGCATGTGTATGTGTGAATTGAAGAATAAGTGCATATATCTTTTAGTGCTTTGGTGCCGTAAAAAAGCTTTGCTGTTAAAGGACATGATATAATTCGGCGTCTTTTCCTTCCAGTGCGTTTGAAATCTTTCTTTCTTTCTTTATGTTTTATTTCCTCAAGCGATCAAATGCTTCTTTCGTGCCATTTGTTTAAACCTCTAAAGGCCTTCTTGAGTCACCAAACGACCGCAACCCACCAGCTCGTGTTCTGGGCGACGCAGCCGGCATGGTGGTTTTGTGTGTAGCAAAGGTGAAACTGACAATTCGAGGGAAAGGGTCTGCCGGGTACCCACCTCATATCCTCACACGGCCCCTAGGAGGTGCTGGTGAAACACGTTTAGGTTTTGCAGCTGTGTTCGTAATCCAGGCTAGCAAGTGTGCCTATTTTCCTAGCTGAGCAAGATACTTAAAAGGGTGTGGTTTCGTCGTGCGCGCGGTGGTGGCTGCTCTGATACCCAGCTGTGCTTCTGCATTCCTTTTGTTGAGATTATACAGTACAGCCTGCTGGAAGCCCTGTTACCAGTCCTGTGTTGCCTTTTAAAGCTGTGTGTGTGGGAATGAATAATGCCTCACACGGGGGGGAGGGAGGGGGTGTCTACTACAACACTTATTAAGTCATACATTATTTATAAGCGGTATGAATTAACTCTGTAAAATAGATGGATATATCCCAGTCCAGGCAGTAGTCCTGAGCTGATAGACACTGGAGAGAGACACCTATATAGCCAAAGGACAGAGAATGAATAACAGCTCACTCCAATTCAATAAACTTCTTCTGGAATGCGTTTCCTCGCGGATTTCTTCGTCGCAACAGGCCAGAGAGGTCCAATTAATCTCTAAAACATACTAAACCTCATGGGAAAAAGGAAATTAATCATTTATATATTTTCTCTTCTGCATTTCAGTTCAGTCTGTATCTGTAGACTGCTAAGAATCTTCCAAACTGTGAATTCTGAGAGGTAACACTTTCATTTCCGGGTAATGAGTTAGTTTTGAAAATCAGCCACACAGAAAGGGATGTCATTTTTCTGGAACTTGAACTAAAATTGCTTCGCTTTAATGTTCTACTCTAAATAAACTGAATACTCTACAGACTGAGATTGTTTTGTATGACAGGAAAATCTTAAAGAAATAAACACAAGGTTATAAGGCTAAAATTATTGTAAGTGTAGCTATGGGGGTGGGGGGATAATAAATGTATCCCAGACTTTCTCATCAACATCATTGTCACCCCCACAGACTGATTTGTAGCAAGGCTTATGTCTTGAGATAGAGGGTTCGAAAAGAGGTAATGATTTTAGTAAAAAGCTTCCTAATCCGGATAGAATTTTTACCTTAATTATTTAGCTGACTGCAGAAACATGAAGGGCTGAATTTTGTAAGTAACTGAAACTTTTTAAATGCATGAAGACATTGCATAGCCCCATGGCTTCGTTTTTTAAAAGAAAAAAATACAAATGTATATTTTAATCAGCCGATTACTTTTCGGTGTGTCCCTATTAGGAAGATTCTAGTATTCCAAAGCATCTGGTGCTTGGGTAAATATGCTTTTTGGAACAACACATGATACAGATTTCTCTAGTCAGAGTCTATCTTTTTGGCTGAATCAGTCCTTATTTAGCAAAACTCCCCATTAGTTTTGGGCACCAGTGCAGTTGGGTGTTGGGAGACATCTGTGGATAAATTTTTTCCAAGGAAATGACAATTATGCTCTTACCGATTCCCTCCACGGTAACCACCTATAATATTGGAGCCAAATATTAGTCACAATCTAAATCAGTGGTCAGATTGTGAATGGCTGGGTGACGCAGAGGGTGATTGTTCCACTAGGGACACAGCTCTTTCCTTTGCACTTATATAAAGATCTCTAGCAATTAGACATATTTTCAGACTTTCATTTGCCATATAATGCAGTCCAATTTCAAAATTATAAAAGATGAGAAGCCCCTGGTATTGGCATCTACTGGGTATTAAGGAGTCCCTGGGAGGTGCAAAAAGCTAGTCAAAAGGTTAGGGGTTCAGACCTACCCAGAGACACCTCAGAAGACAGGCCTGGTGATCTGCTTCTGAAAGGTCACAGCTTTGAAAATCCTATGGAGCAGTTTCACTCTGCACACGTGTGGTCCCCATGAGTTGGAATCAACTCAAAGGAAACTCATAACAGTAGGTATTAAGAACAGCTTAGTAATTTTCAGAGTATTAAGTAATAGTAATAATGAATCAATAAAAGTCAGATTGGCTTGAAATGTAGACATGATGAGCTTGCAATCTGCTCCTCTGAGGACAAGCCGTCTACTATTGTATTTTAAGTCACTGAAAATAATCTCATCTATTGAAAAACAGCTTTGGCTTCAATTATGCAGTTTCACTTACCACTGCTGGTAACATTGCATCCTTATATTAAATCCATTGAAAGCATTTGTTGTGGTGCTTGCTGTGTCCATTAATATAGCCTTTATTGTTCATCAAATGTATTAAAACCAACAACAGTATAAGATTGTTCTTTAAAGAGTTCACCCTTCCAAAGAAGCCAACTTATTATATAGCAAAGTACCTCCTCTGTCATGCTCTGGAGGACTTTATTTATTTCATGTGGGTAAGATGATTACACTCGGAAAGCACCATATTTATCTTAGAGCCAGGCCCTACATTACTATGATTCTTAACGCAGTGATTATGAGGATCATTTCATCTGCGCTGTTTGTGGAACATTTGCTCTCTTAAAGGTAATGAGGTTACAACCTCGGATTCATTCTTTGTTATCACCACTGCAGCCCCTTAGGCCAGATAGCTCTGCCACAAGCACAGGTCCTTGGTTAGAAGCATAACTAGTTACCACTGAGTCGACTCTTACTCAAGGCAAGCCCATGTGTGTCAGAGTAGAACTGTGCTCCCTGGGGTTTTCAATGGCCAATTTTTCAGAAGTAGATCACCAAGCCTTTCTTCCGAGGCACCTCTGGGTAGACTTGAACCTCCAACCTTTTGGTCAGCAGCCAGGCGCTAACTTCTTTAGAAGAATAGCCTGCTGAGAAAACATCAAGCATTGTATGTAGACTCATCCCTGCCACCGTGAAAAAAGGCATGCCTTCCTACTGGAGTCTTAGTAGTACGGTCATTTAATAATAGTGATAAACTGTTAATAAGAGGACTAATAATAAACTAGCACACTGTCTCAGTTATCTAGTGCTGCTATAACAGAAATACCACAAGTGGATGGCTTTAACAAAGAGAAGTTTATTCTCTCACAGATTAGTAGGCTAGAAGTCCAAATTCTGGGCGCCATCTCCAGGGGAAGGCTTTCTCTCTCTCTCGGCTCTGGCGGAAGGTCCTTGCCATCAGTCTTCCTTTGGTCTAGGAGCCTCTCTGCACAGGAGCCCTAGGACCAAAGGACGTGCTCTGCTCCGGGCGCTGCTTTCTTGGTGGTATGAGGTCCCACACTCTCTGCTCACTTCTCTTTTATCTCTTGTAAGATAAAAGGTGATGCAGGTCACACCCCAGGGAAACTCCCTGTACATTGGATCAGGGATGTGACCTGAGTAAGGGTGCTACATCCCACCCTAATCCTCTTTAACATAACCCAATCTTGCCTCATTAACCACAGGCAGAGATTAGGGTTTACAACACATAGGAAAATTACATCAATCACGAAATGGAGGACAACCACACAACATTGGGAATCATGGCCTAAACAAGTTGACACATATTTTGGGAGGATACAATTCAATTCATAACACATATATTTAGGGATTTCTAGCCAGAAAGCATTGCTCTGGTGCTCTAGGTGACACAATACACTGGCTCTGTATTGCATGGACATTTGCATGAGAAAACAAGGAAAGGGAGGGAGGGTGGAAAGGAAACAAGAGAATGTCCTTTGGAAATGACTGATTTAAAAGGAGACGCAAACCCCAACAGTGGCATGGCCTGGAGAGGGTGAGCCTGCCCCTAGAATCCGTATTCCCCCTCCACAGCCCAATGA